AAGTGAATCGAAGGTCCAAAGCCGTTGAAAACGAAATGGCATGGAGTTCTGAGGCTGAGACAAAAGGCCAGGCGTTCCCCACTCAAAGAACAACAACAATCAGGTCGAATCACCAGTCCATAGTTTATTGCAGCAGAAACAACCACAATCAGGTACGACGCACAGGCAAAGGGTGGGCGATTGATGGTCTGAGGAGAGGGGCGAAGGCGAGAGACGGAGGAGGAGAGAGCAGCGGCAACACGGACAGGATGGCTGGAGGGGAAGGAGGGGAATAGCGAGGCAGGGAGAGACGCACTTGAGAATGGCATGGGACGAATTTTGCTGCACCGGTAGCACTGACCGACAAGCATTTGGTAGCACCAAGAGGATTGCGGTGGAAGCATCAAGCGGAGGGAAAGGGCAGCGAGGAGGTAGAGAGGCAGCGAGGGGTAGAGGCAGCGAGGAGGTAGAGAGCACAAGGCATAGAGCAGAACCGGCAAAGGCAGTGAAAGCATAAAACGCAAAGGAATATTGCCACACACTGGGTGGGAGGAATGACATGGGCACTGACAGGAGAGCAAAGGCAGCAAGCATGCGGAGGCAGCAGGCAGCAGCAGTCAGAGTAGCTGCTGCAGATGGTGTGTGGGCGATGGGGGGGAGGGGAGGAGGAGGAGGAGGAGGCGGAGGAGAGAGCAGGAGAGGATAGGAGACCGTCCAGTATTGCTGTGATAAGCGCAGTGGGGTCCACTCTGAGGAGAGGCAGGGAGGGAGGGAGGAGGCGGGGCAAAAAAGAACGGGGTGCAATGGGGGAGGGTGGAAAGGTGAGATTTGGTTTGAGCAAAGAAAAAAAAGGAGAGCAAGGAACGAGACGAGAACAGCGAAGCCAACAGAAAGGGAGCGAGCATGGGGGGAAGAAGGGGCAGGGGGTGAGAGACTGAATGGTCATCATTCTGAGCAAACGCTTGCGGTAACTACTCATACTGTACACCGGGTTGTGGTAGCCCTACGTCATGCCATGTGGCAGCAGCCCATTGGCCGTTGCAGCTGCAACAAGTGGCGAGGAGTGGAGATGGAGGAGCGCCCTCACACACGCCTGGTGGGGGAGAGATGGGGAGGATGGGAAGGGCGAGAGGGGGAGGTATAGACGGACGAATTATGCCAGCGAGAGGGGGGAGAAGAAGGGGGCGTTGTTGGAAGGGAGGAATCAGTGCGAGATGGTTGTGGCTGCGGATCAGGACTTGAAAAGCTTTTGAAAGGGCTACGTTACGCACCTGATTGGCTGTCACGATGTGGGAGAGAAGTGAGACCCTACTGGCTGACAGCTATCTCAAGTGAACTAAACGGGCAACTGAGAAACGGCAAGTATTCAAAGGACTAAGAAACGCACCTGATTGGCTGTCAGGATGTGCGACAGCAGCGACAGCCCACTGCCAGCTCCTCCGCCGCTTCCTCTCCTCCCAGCCCTGCGCTGGTGCTGACATCAGCACTGCCAATGGCAGTCTGCCACGTGCAGAGGACGCATCCTGCTGCTGTGCGAGGTGACGAGGCGGAAGAAAAGGATCAGCAGTGCGCTCAGGGGGACCTGGTGTAGGGGGGGAGAAGGGGGGTGGTGGCGGAGGGGAAGCAGGGCCCACGAGCGGAAGAGAAGGATGGCAGTGTGCTCAAGGGGAACTGCAAGAGAAGGAGAAGTCTGTGCACGAGTTGGTTCCATCCATCGCCACCTCAAAATGCCACAGCCGGTCCATCCCTTCCCGGCTCCCCTCCACCACCTCCCCCCGTGTCCCTGCGGGCACCAGCAGCCCCCCAGAGCGCGGCACGGGAAGGGCTTGGGCGCGGAGAAGGAGGAAGGCGGCGTAGGCGGCGCAGGGGCAGCAGCAGAGCCGCTCCATGGTGCTCTCGAGAAACTCAAAGCTGGGGTGGGGTGGGGAAGGGAGGGGGTGTGGTGTGGAGGTCGTTTCCTGAGTGCCTCAAGCACCAGTGCAGAGAGGGAGGGGAGGAGGAGGAGGGCGGCAGGGGCAGCAGGAGAGCGCTCCAAAGTGCTCTCGACTCTGAGAGCTAAAAGCTGGGCGGATGGAACACAAGTGACCAAGGTAAGAGGAGGGACTCGAGTGCATGTGCATAGGGCGGCCCAGGCGCTGTGGGGGAGAGAGAGAAGAGAAGAGGCGCAGGAAGGGAGGGCAGGTGATAATGACACGCGTGGCGCAAGGTAAAGGTGGGACTCACGTGAACGGCGGGTAGTCCTTGCAAGCACTAGAGAGGCGCACGAGAGGATGACTCACGTGCATTGGGCGGGCCAGCGCCATGGGAGAGAGCTGAAGGAGGCGCAGGAGGGGAGGGGCGGGCGGAAGTCCCTTCGGGTGGCAGCGAGCAGAGAGCGGATGGGAGCGTCAGAGGGGGAAGCGGAGGCATCCCAGAAGTCAGTGCACAGGGACTCCTGTAGTGGGTGTGTGTGAAGGTCAGGACTCAGAGGTGGGTGAAGAAGGGTTAAGGGAAGAGGTTGTAGGTGGGAGTAACGAGGGGAATATTCCTTGTGGTGGCAGCGAGGCAAGAGCGCATGGAGGCGTCAGAGGGGGATGCAACGCACAGGCGTCCCAAAAATCAGTGCATAGAGATTTCTACAGTAGAGGCGGATGGGGTGAAACAGAGAGTGTAAGGACCTCTTGGAAGTGGAGAAAGGGGTATGGGATAGGGGAGGCATGTTGGAAGAAGGTTCACGAGAAGAAAAGCCGATATGGAATGCGGTCAGATGCGGCAAGATGTGGTGAGATGTAGTGAAAACCGGTGACATGTGATGGCATATGGTAACACACGGTGACAACGCGCTGACCTGCTCTGAGAAGGTACGGCAGATGATCTCCAGAAGGAGGGCATATAGCGAGTGCCTCTCTGTAATGAGGGTAAGATAAGGTGAATCATTATTGGCAGTTTCATAGGAAAACACAAGCAGGGGAAGCGGAAAGGGAAATGCGGAAGAGGCGACAAGTGGAAGGAATGTGCGGGAAACTACACGGCGAGAAAAAAATAGGGCAAAAAGCTGATAGTTATACACACTTTAAATATAATAAACTATTGCCCAGATATTACAGACCTGATCGGAAATATCAAACGCTGTGAGTAGGCTGTGGTAACTCCCTTGACGCATCTCTTCACCACCCCCTGCATCACCTGCGCTCTCACCAGGCAGGTGCGGCAACGCGAGGCAAACACTACTTTCGACAAGAGGCCCTCGTCCAGGAGCTCAAATGTTCAAGCGGAGCTCCCAGGCAGCAGGCAAAAATACTACTCGCAAGGACTCCGTCTATTTAAGCTGCCTCAGAGCGCTCGACAGCAGTAGAAGAGCATCAACAGGGAGGAGGAAAAGGAGAAGAGAGCGAAGGATGCAAGGAGGTGAGGGCAAACGAGTGGGGAGGCTCACAGGGTCGTTGGAGGGTGGGAGGGGAGTGAGGAGGAGAGGAGGGAGGAGAGGATCCTATCCAGAGCACCCGCTGAGTAGGCTGCTTGCACGCAGACAGACGGTTCAGTGCAGGCGACTGCACACAAGAGGGTGAGAGAGGGGAGAAGACGAGAGGAGAGGGTAAGCTGACAGCAGCACCAACAATGAAGAGCGCATGCGGATGACTTTGATGAAAGAAAAGGCTGCCCGCCTGCCTTGACCATACCGGTAGCTGCGAGGAATCTGGCAGCCACTGCAGCAGCAAGCGGAAGAGACCCCAGGCGAGCAGCACAGGGGACACGTCCAACCCTGCTCCTGCAGCAGCACTGCTCCCAGTCCCAACCACAGGCATGACGCCAGCCAAGCCTATCTCCCCTCCTCCACCCAGCTCCTCCTCGAGTCCCTCCTCCGCCATCATCCCATTCCCCCTCCACCCGCTTCTCTCCCGCCCCCCTCACCCGCCCCGCCACCCTAGCAGCCGCAGCAGAGAGGATGCATGAGAGCCAGGCGGAGAGACGCTGATCCACGTCAGTCAGAGCAGAGGGGAGAGAGCGGGTGAGAGGACGCGCTGTTAAGGGGAAGGGGGAAGGCGGACGGGGAGGGCGAGAGGAAGGGTGTAAGGCCCACAGCTCATGGCATTGTATACAGCAAAACAAAAACTCCAGGTGAGTACAACAGTGTATTTAATGTACATTAGTGTACGTGACATCCAAAACCAATATTGCCAGAGTCTACCAAGCTCCCTAAGAATAGCATAATTCCTCCTTGCACCAAAGCGCACCTGAACTTCTCTCCTTGCGCCAGAGCCACAACCGCCCCTTCCACGTTGACCGCTGCAATCAGCAGGAGCACAGCGCGGTGCAGTGCGTGGAAAGGAGTGACTCAGACGCAGCACTGATGGCTAGGGAGGCGAGAGACGCAGAGGAGGAGGAGAAGAGGAGGAGGAGGATGGAGAAATGGAGTATGAGCTGGGGAAAGCGGTGCAGATGGAGGGAAGCCGAAGAAAGCTCCTGGCATGTGGTAAAGGGAGAGGGGTGGCGGAAGAGAGAGGGGAGGAAAGGAAGGGATCGATGACAAGAGGAGAGAAGGGAATTGAAAGAACTGATGGAAGGGAGTACGCTAATGCGGTAAAACAAAGGGTGACGTTATGAGTATAAAGAGAAAGGGCACCTGGACGAGTGTGACTATATCGAGGACGACAGCGGCGCTGCAGCCATTACTTGAGGCGATAAGGATGAGAATGTCTAGTAGCAAGCAGGCTTCTAACGAGGATGCCTCGGCCCACTCTGCCACCCCTGCACGATCCTGACAAAAGAAATGATAAGGTGAAAGGAAGAGGGTTTCATGGAGATGGTCCAATCAGAGGGAAACCACAGGAAGCCATGGGAAGGAAGGACACAAGGCCACTGGTTGTGCTGGCGGGAATCCTTACCAGACCATTGGGGGTTCAAACCTTGAAGGGGTCTCTCAGCTGAGTCATGGCATAAGCTGGAAGGTTTCAAGCAAGGCATGCTAGCACTTACCACAGCCCTGGCCGGTTCAACACTTACCAGAGCCAAGGAGGATAATTGCTCACCAGCGCCTTGGGCGGTTCAAATCGTGGGAGCGCTCTGAGCTGAGCCATGGCGTTTGACAGGAGACCCTCGTCCAGCAGCGCTCTCACCTCCCCCTCAATGGCAGAAGCGTGGGGGGAGGAGGCGTCAGCTGGGCGTAGGCGGGGATGGGAGGTGGGCGGTATTGGGCGGGGACAGATGGAGAACGAGAGGGGGAGCTGAGATCTGGCATTTGACAGGAGACCGTCCTCCAGCAGTGCTCTCACCCCCCCCTCATTGGAACACGCGAGGGGGGAGGAGGCGTGAGCTGAGATTCAAAGGGAAGGGAGCAGTGAGAAGTTGGAGCAAGGTAAGGGGGAAGCTGCCATGGTGTGTTATAGCACGCAGTGATCCAATAACACCATGCAGTGATCCAATAACACCATGCAGTGATCCAATAACACCATGCAGTGATCCAATAACACCATGCAGTGATCCAATAACACCATGCAGTGGCGCAACACCGCCATGCCATGATGCCACAAAGCATGCTAGTGGGCGGCGCATAGACTGCTGCAGTAGCAGCCCCTATTGACTGGAATAATAACAGCACCGCACCTTGCATCACTAGCAGCAGCCGTACGCACTTGAGCAGATTCTGCCTCTCCTCTCGATACAATGCCGCAGCCTACAGGCACACCGGCGGGAGGAGGGGAGGGGAGAACCGTGAGGAGATTTGAGTGACATCTGGGCGCAAGGATGACTTGCAAGGCACACGCAGGAAAAACGCCATACACATGCTATGCTAACGAGCAAGAAGAGTGCATCCGCGACTATCACAGGCATCCGCATGCATTCACCACACACACATACCTCCTGCACCAATCTCTGCTGCGCTGCCTTCCCCTCCAACCTCCCCCTCTTCTCCACTCCGAGCCCTGCTCCCTTCCCCTCGCCCTCCCCCTCTGCTTCCCCCACCACTGCCCTCTCCCCTCCTGCCGCCCTATCCACCAGAAAGTACGCCTGCATTTCGTCCAAGCCCTGCAAAAAGCAGCGAACAGACTTTTCAGTCGCTTCAAATTCAAACGCCCTCTCCCCTCCTGCCGCCCTACCCACCACAAGGTACGCCTGCATCTCATCCATGCCCTGCGAAACCAAGAGGAACGAACAGAGCTTTGAGACGATTGAAACTGCCTCTCCCCTCCTCCTGCCGCCATATCCACCACAATGTGCGCCTGCGTTTCGTCCAAGCCCTGGAAAGAAAAGCAATAAGCAGTCACGTTTGCTTAGATTTAAGCAAAGCACGATTTTCCCTCTCAAAGCAACTGCACCAGATGTAAGTCACGTCATGGCAGCACGTAGGAGAGTAGCCCTCTGCCTCCCATGTCCCACTTACTAGCACAGCGCTTGCAGCCACAGCAGCTTCCCTCAGCCGTCCCACCACAGGGATAGTCACTTGCTCTGCGCCTGCTGTTGCTCCTACTCCCACTTCCAGGCGAGCAGCGCCTATGGCGTCTCGTGACCGGCTGCTGGGAGGCTTGAAGCGCGCCAAGCCATGCAGCAGCCACGTGTGATGCTCTGATAGGCTCCTGACCTGCATGAGACGGACCAGGGGAAAGAAAGACGGACAGATGGCTCGAGAATGGATGATGTGAAGTTGGCGTGATCCCAGGAAAGAATCCGGGTTACATTTGGTCCTGCTAAGCTGCAGCAGCAATAAGTCACACGCAAAACGGTCCCTGAATCTGGAATCCACGGGATAAGTCGCTTAGCGAAGTGAACCAGACGAGTTGATCGGTCTTCGTCGCGCTGGTACCACATGCGTTTGCACCGCCTGGCGTAGCGTCACACCTGCAACGTGGCGTCACACCTGGCGTAGCGTCACACCTTGCGTTTGCACCGTTTGCACCGTTTGCTCGTCATGCGCCTGCAACGTGCACGCCTGTACGCGTTTGAATCACACATGCTACTGTCACACGCGTTTGTATCACACGTACCAAGTCGCGACCTCCATCCCCACCACCATCATCACCAGCAGCGCTGTCCGTTTCCCCGCTGTCAATCGCCTCGAGTCTCGCCAGCAAGGCGCCGTGTGGGGACCACCAGAGCGCCGCGTCGACTTTCGACGACGACGCCCTGTTGATCGCCGCTGCCACGCTGGCCATCTGACAAAGCGGCTTGTCCGAGACGTCTCAAAAGCGACACGCGTCGAGGCGAAGGGAGGGGAATTAGAGGCGCACGGACTAGTCGCGTCGGACTGGTGTCGTGAATCGAGCTAAGCCCCAGGAAAATAAGACCGAGACGGGTATTTGGAAGGAACCCTGGCGACGTCGTTCGGGAAATTTGAACAGTGAAAGAAGACCGAGAGCGACAAGGGCTCGGGATTTTTCTGGGGAGGAGTTCGAATGCTCGAACAGGCACTGGGGAAAATAGGTCAAGCGATGACTCTGCGAGCAGGACCAGGCGTTTCGCACGGGGCGAAATAGCGACGCGGTGGCATTCCTACTCGCAGACTGCCCTGAAGCGGCGAGCTAGCAGGAGGCACAGAACAACATACACGTCGAGAATTAAATGGCGGAATATCTATCTGATCACTGATCCTGATCACTGATCACTGGTCACTGACTGGAGTACAGAACAGAATCACTCGTGCTCACGGGAATAGGGAGCTAGGAGGCAGAATCACTCGTGCTCACGAGCAGGAAGGAGCCAACTCCGAAGGTCCACAAACTCTTGTGTGATTTCGAATTCCCGCTACTGTCAGATGTCAGACTTTGGTACACCGCATTTAGCAGTTACGGATCAGCTCTAGAAATTCAGTTAGATTCCCTCGCAAACACTTGTTACATTGGTGTCATACCTCAGATATTTGACCTAATCGAACGATCGTCAACAAGCCTGCTCGGCAACTCATTTTCCCCAACTTCACCTCCCCCTTCACCCGGAACTTCTGCCCCACCCTCCCCTTTTCCTCACCCCGCTTCCCATCCTCCGCGTTTCCCCGCTTCGCCGTTTTTCCGATTCCCATTCGCCTCTCCCCCCCCCCACCTCTTTGTGCTCCCGCGTCCCCACCGATTTTCCCCGCGCACTCCCCCCGTGCCCTCCCCTTCAAATCCCCTCTCCCTTTTCCTCCTGCCTCTTTCTCCCTCGCGTCTCTCCCTACGCCCTAGTCTCTCTTTACCTCACCCACGCCGGGTGTAGGAGCCTCTTGACACGTCAGCGGCAGCCATCGTCGGCGTAGCACGCACGAAACCCTAGCACCATGGGCGAGCGCCTCACATACCGCCGCAGGCACCCCTATGCCACGCGCTCCAACCTCCGCCGCACCGTCCGCACCCCAGGCACGATCCCAATCTCTTCCCCTCACCTTCGGAAACCCGAATTACGCCGCACGTGTGCACGGGTGGAGTCGTTTCTCGGACTCGAGTCTAGTATTGTAGACTCGCCGTCGCGTAGTGTTCGAGGAGTGCGCCAACAGCGTCTTGCTGACTCGCTATAAGGACACTTGTAGAAACCCTACAACTCAGTTGTTCGGCTGGCCAGGCTGGTCTGCTTTCTTTTCGGATCCCTGGTTTCGGATTCTTCCGGGACTCGATTTACGTGTCTGCGTCGAGTGACTTGAGCGCCATCGATATCCCCCCCTAATCCCCTCTCTCAACATCCCTTTTGATCCGCTTTCTCCCTGTCCGCGCTGGTCGTTGTTCCGCGGATTGTCTTCCCGTGACTCGCTATCCGAGCAGGAGGCAAGCTCGTCGTTCAATACATCGCCAAGAGAGCCAATGGCGTCAAGTGCGGCAAGTGCCCGCGCATCCTGCCTGGTGTAAGTCACTATCGCTATTACTTTTGTGTCCACCCAAAACGCATCCTCGCATCCTGCCCCGTTTAAGCCCCTGTACTCCAAGCAGGCTGGAGTAGCTCCGCAAAACTTCCTGGTGTTCTCTCCCTAATCGCCACCAGTAGCAAATCAGGCGAGGCCGAAACGTCTCTCTCCTATTGTCACTGCGCAGATGCCTACCTTCTGTTTCTGGCGTGCATTTGCCGCGCGCAAGTCTGGCGCAGTAACTCTTGACGATTTTGTTCCTCCCTTTCCCTCCCTTCCCCTTTCTCGCTCCGCCCTCTCATCCGCGCAGGTCCCCGCGCTCCCCGCGCACAAGCTCACGCGCAACCTGATGTCGCGCAAGCAGAAGAGCGTCACGCGCATCTACGGCGGCGCCATCTGCGGGAAATGCGTTCGCGAGAGGTAGGGCGGAGGGGAATTGCGCGAGAGAATGCCGCGCTAAAGTCAAAGCGGGGGTTACTTGCGCGAGAGGTAAGGGGAGGACGGAGGTGATGCTCGGGGCGGGTGGTATGATCTGCAGGATCTCTTGGCTCGGGAGACGAGTCGGGGTGAGGGCGGGCGACGAGGGGGTGAAGCGAAGCGGGGGTTCAAGGGATCCGTTGCTCCCTCCAGCCGCGGTGCACATCAGGATCGCCCTTCCATCGCCAAAATACCTCACTCTTTCTCTCTCTCCCCCCTCCTCCCCCCCCCCATCCCGCTCCCGCTCCCGCTCTCGCTCCCCCTGCCCCTGCCCCTCCTCTGGTCATCACCCCCCTCTCTTCTCTCCCCCGTTAGAATCATCCGCGCGTTCCTGGTGGAGGAGCAGAAGATCGTGAAGAAGGTGCTGAAGCCCCTAAGGAGGGTGTCGGTTCGAACCCTTTCCTTTCCAACCTCTCTTCTTCCCCCTTCTCTTCTTTCCCCCTCTCTTCTTTCCCCGTATTCTCTCTCTCTCTCTCTCTCTCTCTCTCTCTCTCTCTCTCTCTCTCTCTCTCAGAATCATCCGCGCGTTCCTGGTGGAGGAGCAGAAGATCGTGAAGAAGGTGCTCAAGCTGCAGAAGTCCAAGGAGAAGATCGCCTCCAAGGTCCCTGCCTAAAATGATGCAGAAAAGGCTACCAGGGACACGTTGAAATGCACCGCCTTAGGCCAGGATTGTGGTTTGTTGATGTGGCAGTGTCTGTCTGTTGTCCCTTGGATGTATGGTTAGTTACTAAAGCTCACTCCACCAAGCTCTTTCCTGTGCTGCCCGCACTAGATTACCGGCTCTAGCCTGTGCAAGTTGGATTTTCATGCAACTATGGTAATCTGAGGTGCACCATCTGTTAACTTCTGTTCATGGTATGTTGTTATAGGCTAGATAGGTGCATGCTCATAGAGAGTACATGTTAGAATGATAGTATGATGCAGAATGAGAGTACATGAGAATGTAGGCAAGTGTTGTACCCTCTAAGGCACAAACCTATACTGTCAACAATAACATACTAGAATATGTTTCGACCCACCCCCTAGACCAGGCTCTCAAAGGAAAACTGAATAATAATTGACTAGAAAGAATTGTACAAGGACATATATCTAAGGGTTGTACTCTCTAAGAGATGACCCTATACAGTCTACACAAACATTGTAGATAAACATGTTTGACACACCCCCTAGACTGCATAGGGGCAGGTTCTGGACAAGCAGCTCCGGGCGGCACTACTAGTCCAGCCTCTGAGACAAGGGTCTAAAGACCAGTCAAAAGGAGTACAGACAAGACAAGAACAAGACCAGGACAGCACTACTAGTCCAGCCACTGGGAGAGGACACAAGTCCAGTCTGAGTACATATGCAGACATATATAGAATACTACAAGGTCAAGGTCCTAGCAAGTGAGAGGCTACAGGAACTAGACCCAGCTGAACACAGTGCCTCTGATGATGTTTAGGCGCAAGCGCCTTCGTAAAGATATCAGCTGTGTTGGCACCAGAGGCCAAGTGAACTACGCGGGCCTGGCGGCGCTGCTGTAGCTCACGCAGGAGAAAGTACCGCAGCTGAATGTGCTTCGCTCTGCCCTCAAGCCGAGGCTCCTGACACAGGAGGATCATGGCCCTGTTGTCAGCGTACAGGACCGGGGCAGAGCTAGGCCGCTCACCTAAGTTAGTGAGCAAGAAGGTCAGCCAGCGGAGCTCCTGTGCCGCCATGGCACCAGCGTAGATCTCAGCCTCACAGCTGGACTGAGCAACAGACGACGAGCGAGTGGATCTCCAAGAGATAGCACCCGAACCAAGGCTAAAGCAGTAGCCCTGCGACGACCTGAGCGTCTCAGAGTCGTCTGCCCAAGACGCGTCTGTGTGCCCAGTGAGGACCACTGGCCTGCGTCCTCCTAGCACTAACCCCATGCCGGATGTACTTGCTAGATATCGCAAAACCCTCTTAGCGGCCGACCAGTGCTGTGGTCGGTGTCTGCCAGTGGCCACAAAGCGAGCCAGGATGCTGAGAGGGTATGCGAGATCTGGGCGAGTGCAAGTCATCAGGTACATGAGGCAACCCACCAGCTCTGCGTAGGGGCCGCTGGGCTCTACAAGCTCCTCAGGAACGGGAGCGGAGAGCCCGTGGTCTACGGGTAGAGGTGTGTGCTGTGCAGAGGAGAACTGAAGGCCGAACCTCTGAAGGACCTGACGCACCAAGTGTGACTGTGTCTTAGTGATGGTGCGTGCTGCTCTATCCCTAGAGATCTGCAGGCCAAGATAGCGACGCAGCTCTCCAAGGTCAGTGCAGGTGTGTCTCTTCAGCAGCTCGGCCTTCACTGAGGCCAGTGCGTCCCTGTCAGCAGTAGCAAAGACCAGGTCGTCTACGTAGACAAGGATGTAGAACGGAGTCTGGCCGGACCGCACAAAAAGCGAGGGGTCAGAGGACGACGGAAAGAATTGCAGGTCTGCTAACGTGGCACGCAGCGTGTCGTGCCACTCGCGGGGAGCCTGGTGCAGGCCGTAGACCGGGCGCCTGAGAAGCCACTGGGTCCCAGGGGGGAAGGTACCAGAGAAGCCCTCTGGTTGGCGCAGATAGACCTGCTCGTGTAGGCTGCCCTGAAGAAAGGAAGTAGAGAAGTCGAGGGAGTGAAGCTCGTATTCGCGCTGTGCTGCTACGTGTAGCAGCGCCCGAAGAGTGGTCATCTTCGGGGTCGGGGCGAACGTCTGGAAGAAGTCCACCCCCTCGTGCTGACTGAAGCCTCTGGCCACGTAGCGCGCCTTGAAGACAGGCGGCTCTCCTGGGGGGCGCTTCACCTTGAAGAGCCACCGACCATCGACTACGTTCACCCCAGGTGGGGGAACTGCGTCGACGTAAGTGCCGGTGGACCTCCAAGATGCCATCTCCTGCTCCATGGCAGCTATCCACTGAGAGGCCCAGGGTCCCAAAGTGGCCTCAGCGTAGGTGCGAGGGGTCGGGATGTCAAAGGCGTCTGGGTCACCCTCAGGGACTAGGAGCATGGAGCAGAGATGGGGAGCGGCCTCGGAAAGGAAAGCAAGCTCGTACTGCCTGTCCTCTAGAACGTCACGGCCAAGGGCAGGTGCACCCCCGACGGACGGAGGACGGGCAGGGTCAGAGACCAGAGCAGTAGCGTAGTCAAGGCGGCGGGTAGAGGCGAAGTCAGCGACAGCAGCGACAAGCGCGTCAAGGCGCGAGACGGGAACAAAAGGGTCGGTAACAAGAGAGGCAAGAACCCGAGGGCCAAGGGGACGAGCGGCACGGAGGTAGTCAGAGAACGGAGGAGGCGAAACAGCAAGGGACGAGGGAGGAGGTGACAGGAGGAGGGGAGGATGAGACGAGTGGGAACGGAGCAACATAGGGTGGGAGCGCAGGACAGGAGAGACGGGACGAGCACGGGAGGGACGGCGAGACCAAACGTGCGACGGAGGTGTAGGGTCAGGAGACAGTGGAGGGGACACAGGAGGAGAACGAGGAGGAAGCCGGGCCGGAGACGAGTCCGGCGGCGGGAACACAGGACCGTAGACAGGAAGGTCAGCAGACGGCGGGGAAGACACCGGGGAGCGGTCTGGGGAGGGAAGGCCGAGCAGGCGGAGAGCGGAGACCGGCGGCGACTGTGTCGGAACGCTCGGACCGGCAGAGGGAGGACGACCGGTGGCGGAACCCTCAACGGCAGCACCCCAAGAACCAACACCCCCAGAGCGAGGACCTCCTCCAACACCAGCGGCACCCCCAGAAGCTGCAGGACGAACACCCTCCTCCACGCGAGCAGCCGCAGGGGCCAAGAGCGGGGGCGGCAGCGACGACGGCAGCGACGGCGGCGGCGGCAACAGCAGCGACGACGGCGGCGGCGGCGACGGCGGCAGCGGCTGCGTCAGAGGGGGCGACTGCGACCGTGGAGGCGAAGACACCGGGGGAGGGGGACACGGCACGGACGGGCCAGGTGTACCACCAGAGTCAGCGGACTCCTCAACGGGGACAACCGACGAGAGGGGAGTGACGTGAGAGACACCAGACGGGGCAGGGCGAGGCGGGGGAGGCGCAGGGGCTACCGGGGGAGAGGGAGCAAGGAACAGGGGCGGGGCAACCGGGAGACCTCGGTGAGGGAAGCGACGGTAGAAGGAGACTGACTCGTCAAAGGTGACGTCACGAGAGTGGAGGAAGCGGTGAGACGGTGGGTGGTAGAACAGCCAGTCAGACGAGTCGAGGGGGAAACCAAGGAAGACACAGGAGACCGTGCGGGCAGTGAGCTTGTCCGTGCCAGAGGCACGAACGTGAGCAAGACAGCCCCAGACGTGGAACGCAGACGCGTCACCAGGGGACCCGGTCCAGAGGAGGGTCGGCGAAACCTGTGGCCGCTGAGAGCGTGGCCACAAGTTAAGCTGGTGAGCAGCGTAGCGAACAGCGAACGGCCACAGAAAATGGGGGGCATCAGCATGAATCATGGAGGTATGAGCAACCTCCATGACCAAGCCAATGCGGCGCTCAGCAACCCCATTCTGCTGTGGCGAGTCCGGCAAGGTGTACGTCTAGGTGATGCCCTCCGCACGACAGAACTGTCCAAGCCGACCAGAGGCGAACTCGCCGCCACGGTCAGAGTGGAGACACAACACGGGGAGACTGCAGCGAAGACGCGCAGCCACAACCAACGGGAGAAGAACGTCGGGCACGTCGGCCTTCCGCTCTAGAGGAAACACCGTGGTGTAGCGCGTGTAATCATCGACGAGCACAAGGAAGTAGCGCTCACCGCGCGGTCCGGGGACGGGGGCAGGGCCCCAGACGTCCAGGTGCAGGGTCTGGAGGGGGGCAGTCGCAGGGCGCAGCGAGGAGGAGTGAGGAGCACGGCGGAGGCGGCCCTCGACGCAAGGCGTGCACGGTGGCACAGTCGAGGGAGGAAGGGCAGGGAGCGACGCGGGGAGACCTAAGACAAGACCGTGCTGGGACATGTGACGCAGACGAGGGAGTGCAGGGTGACCTAAGCGGTGGTGCCAGAGAAGGGACGGGTGAGTGAGGGAACGACACGAGCAAGCTGCAGCGACCTGGGAGGACGCACCAACCGGGGGGGAAGCGGTGTCGAGGGTAAACAGACCGGACACCGGGTCCCGGGGGAACGTCGCAAGAGGGGAACCTGAGACAGCCTCAGAACAGACAGCGAACCGCTCGTGCCCGAGGAACGTGCTGGTGACGCCGAGGTCCTGGAGACAGCCGACACCAACCCGGTTCCTCGAGAACGAGGGAACGTGGAGGCCTGTAAGGGAGCCCGAGGGAACTGCAGGACAGGGAAGGGACGTAGAACTGCGAGCAACGACAGGACCCGCAGAGGGGTCAGCGAGAGAGACGACCACAGGTGTAGCAAGCGGCGTGAGCGCGGAGCGGTCGCGGAAGAAGCAGGCAGAAGCACCGGAGTCGAGAGTGAACGACAGTGATGCAGTGGCGGAGGCCGGGAACGGGGCCGGTGCAGAGACTGGGCTAGGCAAACTAGGCAGTCCTACGCCTGACGCAGCAGGGGAAGCTATGGTACACAAGGGTGCAACACCTAAGCTGGAGAACACAGGATAATAAGATCCAGCAACACTAGCAGCGTCAGAATACAAAGCATGCAAAGCAGCACCTATCTGATCCATGTCTAACTCAAAGATCGGCACGCCCTGGCGGAGTAGGCTGTGCGAGTCAGGGAGGTCCGGGGCCGGGCCAAAGCGACGACGAAAAAGATCGTCAAGGCGGCGAAAACAGCGGGCAGGCGGGTGCGGGCGGCGACACAGAGTGCCGCGAAGAGGCCCGGTCTGAAGCTGGTACTGGCAGGTCACAGCACCGGAGCCGCTGGTAGACGCCGAGCTGCGCGGGCCGCCACCACGGCCACCACCTCCGCCGGTGCCAGGCCAACCAGGCGGGAGACGAGCCCACTGCTGCGGCGGCTGCTGCTGGGACAACGGCTGCTGCTGGGACGGCGGCGGCAGCTCGGGCTGC